AGAGTAACCACAGGCCTCACTACCACTGAAAGCTTTGCAAATTACAGGGATTTATCTCTGAGTGCTGGCCTCCAAGACACAAAGAGCTAAACCCCAAAGTGCCCTTGGGATTAAACATGCCTGAACCCATCCACAGCAATGAGAGCAGTAAATCCTGCAGGGAGCTAGCTGGGAAGTTTGCTGGGATGCTGTGAGCTGGAGCAGCCCTCTCTCCCCTTAGCTGGTGCACACAACGATGCTGCCACGCCCATAAAAGCACTGCTCAGACAAGATCACCGGGTATTTCCAGGGTCTGTTCTCCCAAACCAACCCACAGCCACTCTTCTTGCTGCTTCCTGCAGCTGAAGAAGCTGCAAAGAAAAGAAGCATTAAGAAGAGTGTTGCTGCATTACAGAGGAAGGTGAGGGAGGTGAAGATGGAGAGCAAGGCAGCCTGTCCCTGCTTGCCCAGCTCCCACCCACCACCTCCACCACTCGCCTCATACAGCTTCAAAGCCTGGCATTTAGCACATCCCTGCTTTAACCACTTAGGCTGTTAAATGGGGACATTTTAACTTGTAAAAGCCATGTCAAGACCCTTGGCAGAAGGCAGCTGAGAAGCTGCCAGTGGCTTTGGAAAACTTCATCCTTATTTTAAGTGACGTGAATTGTATTTCACTCCAAAGCAGTGCTCGGTTCCCACGTCTGGAAACTTTTGGACTCGCAAAGCACATGAGAAACAGAAACAACATGGCAGGGAGGTCAGAAGAACTCCCACCTCAGTGGGATGGACAGCACTGGAATTTCTGGCTGAAAAAATCCCGCTTGGAGGAAGAACATGCCTGCAGATGATTGTGTCATTAGGTGCCAAAGCCAACTGCTAATGCCTAATGACTCTGTGTCACAAGCAATGAAGGCAGGAGCCCAACACGATGGCAGCAGGAGGAGGGAATGTGCTGGAGCATTGCTGCCAGGATCTGGGCTTGGGCAGGGGCAGAGCACTCACATTATTTATGACCACATAGATGGGACACTGAATGGAGGCCCTTGGATCAGCCTGGGGTTGTCAGTGTGGCTCACAGCTGGAGACACCAGATAACAGGAGAAAACTAAACCCCTTTTGCTCCCTCCCCTCGCCTCTCTAGTGGGCCTGTAGGAAAGAGGAAGGAGGGAGGAAAGAAAGCCCAATAAATGAGATCGACTGCTGTACAACAACCATTAGCCCTGTGTGCCCTCCTGCCTTCACTGGGATGTTGGAGCTCCAGCAAAGGCTGTCAGAAAGAGCCTGGGGGATGTGGAGATGCAGGATCAGGGATGCAGCCCCTGAGAGCTCAGGGAGCAAGGCAGGTGTGATTTCCAGCAAGGGAGGAGCAAGCCCAGCCCAGTTCAGCTCATGCCTCCAGTCCTGTGCACAGCTCTGGCTGTCCTGGCATGGTGGTTCATAGACCCTGACCAAGGTTGTTCCGAGCTCCCTGGGGCATCCTTGCTGTGCTCCCCCATTGAACAAACCCCCTTTTCTGCCTCTCCCACACGCTGGTGTCTCACCCACCTCCTAAACACATCAGTGTGGGATTGAGCCCGTGCTGCAAAAAGGTGATTCCTGGACACTTCCCGCTCCAGGGAGGTAATGAAACAGGCTGCATCTGATTTCTTCCCTCCCTTCCCCGTCCTGTCACCCTCCTTTCCCTATCTTTGAGGAACAGATGCACCCATTCATAACCATGCAAAAGAAAGTGCCTATTTGCCTTTCCGACTGCAGTGCAGCTGGTAAAGCACAGGAGGGAAAATTATGTTTTGTATGAATACAGAAATTATCTGCACTGATCTTATTACACTTGAATGGGAAAGCGACAGAAAAAGAAAAGAGGGAAGTGAAAGGCATTGTTTGGGCTGCACCAACGTAGCATCATTATTGTTTATCCTCTCCAACCACTCCATCATCCTAATCCCACCGTCTCCCACAGTGACAGGTCAGTAACAGTGATCTGCTAAATAGCACGATCCAGAGGCTGCCAAAATGAACACAGGCAGGATGCAAACCTGGCGAGGCAATGCCTGGGGGACGGCAGCACCTCGAGACGTCTCGCCTGCAATTCCCACGCAGGTCCAGGCCAAGCATCCAATAACTCACAAACATTATCAGTGTTAAAAAGATCCATGTTACAGTGATGCCAATTAGCATCAGAGCACTGGGATGTGCTCTGAGACAGAGATAAAACACAGGCTCAGTAACTGCCTAACCCGCATCCTCGCAGAGATATCCTTATTCATCACATGAATAGGTCCCCAAAGCCCACCATAGAGCTGTGCAAGAGGGGGCACACAGGGCAGAAGGCTCCTCCATGCCCTGGGGATAGTCTCTTACACAAGACCAACACATGTGGCTCCATATGGGCTCAGCACCTCGCGCTGGCATCCTGGCTCACCAAGGCAGCAAATGCTCTGGGAGGACAGAGATCACAAAACGTGATCAGACACATTAACCCCACCACAAAACACTTTGCTGAAATAGCTTTGCAAACCCTTGGCCTTCGAAGCCAAGATGCCCAGGACTCAGAGGGCTCAGGACAGCGCTCAGCTCCTCCTTGCTGCAGCAGCATCTGATCAGCCCAGAGGACAACAGCCAATTCCTCATGCCACAGGCAACACAACAGCTCCAGCAAGTATGAAAAAAACAATCACAAGGTGGAAATTCAAACACAACACAAGTCACCTGCTATCAAAACAGGGGAAATTTGGCAACTTTCCTACTTAGCACTTACTACATCAAGGCTGCTCAATGATGCTAATTAAACAGGTACCTCCCAGACACAGCCAGAAAGATTTACATCCCTAATTTGCATTTCTCAGTTTATTTTTCTTCCCCTCCAAGGCACCATTTTAACAGCCACGGTGCAATTGCTTGGAGGAGTTTAATTTTGCATGAGTGTCATTTGAAGATGAAGGTCTGTCCCGTCAGCAGCTCGAGGATTGCTCACCCAGGGCCCAGCTCCTGCCCCCTGCCCTCCCTCAGTGGGGCTCAGCTGTTCACTGAGATTTTCTTGGTCTCTTGGGCTTGGCTTCACCAGCTGAAAAATAACTAGTACTGGGCTCAGCTGCTCTCAGTGATCCAGCTGCTGTCCCCATCCAGGGGCCAGGCATGGATCAGTCCAGAGACTTTTTTGGGGGTGAATGAGCCTCAGAAATTCCCACCACCAGCAGCTGAAGTGGATGCAGGGGTGTTAGTACAAAGCAAAAACCAGTCTCAGAGAGTTTCTCTCTCCATCCAGCTTCCAAATCCAGCCCAAAAAACTGAGCCCAGAACGTAGCTGCTGCAGGGCAGCTCCCACGACAGAGGTTCTGATGGGATGGGACAGGACAGCTGAAAGGGAGGTATATAATAGCAAATAATCAAAAGCAGCCACGGTTCTGTGATAATTAGTCAGAGCTACCTGTGAAATCAGAAGTCAGTCACGCTTGGGGGGGGGGAAAAGGTGTCTCTGCCAGCACCCCTTGCCCAGACAACCCTGATAAGGCTCTGATTAGCAGCAAGTCACCACCCTGATAATAACTGCTTCCAGTGATTGGGCTTGTAGGAGAACTGATGAGAAAGGGAGGTGGTGATGCCTGTTTGCTGCACTTGGTCAACTCCAGAGTAACCTGGGAGGAGATGACCTGTAGCATCGTGTTCCCGTCTGCGCTGCCATGGAATGAACAGCAAGATACTCATCTCGTGCCCCCCAGGCACTGCAGGCATTTCTAACCTGAACACCCTGCTAATAAGAGGCAATGGGCAGGAAGAAATCCAAAGAAGCAGATCGAGATAAAATTTTTCCAAAAGATGTTCATCCATCACCAGCCATCCCGCGCCTGCTGAAAGTCTCATTATGTGGCTGCAGCATCAGCCCTTCAAAAAACTTCCCTGAACTCTCTGTCAATCACACCCACCCGCAGAACAAGGTGTTAAGGTCAGAAGAGCAGCCTCCTGGAGAGGAACACAGTGATGGGAGGAAGAAATGGGAGAGGTGGGCTGGGTGAGGCATCGCTGCCTGCAGCCCTCTCTCCTTGAAGGAATCATCTTCTGGGAGGGGAGAAGAGCAACTGCTGCACTTTAGAAATGAACTCTGCCATTCTGTGGCACTGGCCAGGCTCTGCAGCTGACTTTCCAGAGCCTTTGCTGTCCAATTCAGTAATGGCAAGAAACACATGTCTAAACACCACCTGGCAGCCCATTTGCTTTGGCTGTGTTGAATGTGCAGACAGCTCTCACAGAGGAAGCACTCCCTTTCCCCTCAAAATAAAGCTGTAAAACTCAAACATGGAAACTTGGCAATTCATGGCCGGTGTTTTTGACTCAGAGAGATCCCACAACCCACTTTCCCCATACAATGATCATCCTTCCCTGCTCAGCTTGCCATGACAACAATGTAAGAGGTGGTTAGTCCTTGACACGCTCCATCCTTGGACTAACGGCAGCTCCCCAGCAGAACAATCCCAGCAGCAATTACGGAGGCTCTTCTAAAATGGGAGAAGCAAAAACAGATTAAAAAGCCATTTGAAACCTTGAAGCAGAATGCAGAGTGGAAGGAACAGGGAGCAGTCAGGGCTGCACGCGCTCGGCGAACAATGCGGGGACACTTCTCTGTGGGCAAAGTTAAATGCATCAAATGATCGTCAAACACGAGCGAGTGAAGAGCCTTGGGAGCCTGTGGGGATGGCACTTGACAGAAAGGCAACGGGTGCTGCTTTATGCTTCATGGTTACAGCACGGAAAACCTTCCATGGAGGGGCTGAGGAGCAGACCTGTGACCCCTCCCAGAGCCAGCACAAGGGACTAAAGAGGGGCAAGATAAAAGAAGACTTTCAAGTGCAGAATTCAATTACACTCCAGCCACGTGAATCACTATTCCACTGGCTGGATTATTTTCTTTCCTTGCTGGAGCCAGCCCAAGGATTTGGAGAGTATGTGCAACCTGGGAATGGAAAAAAAACCCTTTTTACTCTTTCAAGAATGGCAAGGAGTTGGTACTAAGCGAAAGCTTTATTGTTTCCAGTAGTAAAACACTACATAAAAGTTGTAAGGGATGGAGACAAGAACAACAAAATAATAAACACAAATGACCAGAGCAGATTGAGTACATTCACTGAGCCTTTCCTGCTCACACTGAGCCAACTCAGAAGGCAGTCAACTGGTATAGGTTTAGGATAATATCCCAATAGAAGTTACAAAACACAAAAAAGGGTAACACCACAAAGGAAAAAGTGGTCTTTAATAGAAAATAGTGCACAGAGCTGCAAATGTTCCTCTATCACATTCAGATGTGCCTGGATCACATTCTCCATGGCCAGATCCTTCCCTCAACCCAAGAGGAATCTTTCCATAGATGACTGAACAGTTCTGGTTTGAACTCAGGTGGAATTACCCCACAGAGCTAAAATACAGAGGTAAGAAAGAAAGGTTTCCAGTCTCACTGATAGCAGAGCAGTCCCAAATTTATCTCTGAGAGTGTTTTATAAAACCTGGTCTCAGTTAAAAATCAAGCTCATGCCTCAAAGTGGTACAGCCAGCCAGTGAGGACCACCAGGTTCCTGTGCAGAGCTGGCAACCCACAGTGCAGTAAATGGCTGTGGGAAGTGAGAGTGGGAATGGAAACACATCTGACCTGCCTGCACTGCCCAGGAACGAAGCACAAGGAACACAAGAAGAGTTAGAAATAACATGCTCAATTTTAAAAACTCTTTCTAACTCAAGAGTTTTTGAAGAGAAAAGTAACAGGTTTAAAGAAAATAGTCAATTTTTAAATGTCTTTTTTCTTCTCCTTCTGCTACAGAATTAACTTAGGCTGGCAGGCCAGGCTGTCTGAGGCACTGCAGAAATGAGAGCGTGAGCAAGACAAGCCTCACTTGCACTGTCAGAAGCTTCAAGGCAAAACAGGACTTTTTGGGTGGCAAAACACTTCTGAAATTGAAGACCCTTCAGCTCTCAGGAGAAACAGCACGACTCCAGCTCTGAAATCAGACCAGCATTTCAGCAAAAGCTGACATTTGGAGTTACTTTTTCAGAAATAGCTAGTAATTTTGGCAATACTCCTTCCAGACATGCAGCTGGTCAAGTTTCAGTGGCCAGGTTGACAACACAGATCATAAACCATAAAGCATCCCCCAGTGGAGAACAACCTCATCCCTTGGTCTCTCCAACACCGACACTGCAATGCCCACATTCAGTGGTTCCTCCTTCTGCCATCCCACAAAGGTTTTGTTTTCATTTGTAAAAGGGCAGGAACAGATCACAAAGGAAGAGCTGGAAGCGTTTTCCCAGCAACCTGCCATAGCACATTAACTGGAAAAGCAGTGAGGGAATGGTCCTCTGCTGGACCACGTTCATTTAAAAAGAAAGCCAAGGATTGATTTCCGATCTCCTGCTAGAGTGTTCCAGCACCCAATCTCATTTATCTTCATACTGCAGCCATTTGTAAGAACATACACTACATGCACACAAAGCGCCCAGCAGCAAAGGAGAACAACAAAAGAGTAATAACCAAGGGAAAAAACTGACGTTAATGGGCACAAATTGCCTTTAACTCCACGATTTCAGAGGGAACTTTTTGGAATCCTTTGTTTCTTCATAATAGACAGGTCAGCTCCAAAGCATTTAATAAAATCCACAGACTCCTACCAGCCTAGTGTGGGTTTTGTTCAAGTCTTCAAAGATCTAATTGCTCTAGAGATGTCAGGTAATTTGATTTTTCTTATTTGTCAGGCCTTAGAGGGAAATTGTCCATCGCGGAGAATAAGCAGGACCGGGGCATGCAGTTTTCAACAGCCTGACTCATGATGACACCATCACAGTCAGCCAAGACGCTCAAGACTCATAGGAAAAAGGTAAAATAAAGGCCCTTGCTCATGCAAGAGATGACAAGGTGCGCAGGTGGGAGGAGAATCTGCAGAGCTTAACAAGATAAAGTAATTTGAAAGCTTTTATCCAATTCGGGTATGCAAAGGCAGCCAACTGGGCCACGGGGTAAGGGCTGTTCTCCCACCAGGAGCTGCAGCAAACACACACTGCCCATGATCCCCCTGCCAAAGGACCACCCTCACCCAGGACACACAAGCACAGTGCACAGACAGGAGGACCAAAAAAATCATAGCAAATTTCTTTGAGCGTTTCTTTACTTACTCCAGTGTCTCCCTGAGCAGATACTCATCCCAGAGAGAGACTGCAGTGGAAGTGAGCGGGATCTCAGCTCCACTGGCTGATTCCAAATGCCCCCACCAAACTCATACCAGCTCAAACCAGAACAACAGTGACAAGAAGCACAAGGGGTGACACCCTGCCTGTGAGAGTCAAGTGCAAATGAGAGCCCCAGTCTCACTGTTGGCATCCACAGAGAGAAATCCACCCCCGGGCTGAGAAGCAATAGAAGGGCCACAGTCTCCTCACACCCCGTTTCAGGGACATAGTGGTGAATTTCCCTTTCTCCTGAAGATTTCAGAGCCAGGCCTGCAAGGACAGGAGATAAGCCCAGGGCTGGGCTCGGCAAGCCAGGAACAGCGGAGGTGTCACACGTTCCTTCAGCTCCAGCGGGCACTTTGCGTGTCCCTTCCAGCAAACACGGCTCTGGACCCCACGGCAGCTCCACAGAGCAGGGCACCCCTCCCTGAGCAGCACCCCAAAGTGGTGTCAGTTGGCAGGAGAGGAAACCAGACCAAGCCATAAACCAGGTCAGTGAGGCAGGGAGGACAGGCAGGTGCTTTCCCAGGTGTTGCCATTGCCTGTGGAAGAGCCCGAATCATAAAGTCACCACCGGCAGCAGTCGCTGTCTGGAGCGAGGTCTAAGGAGTGGGCAAGGGGTGAGTGTTGGATCCAGGCAAAGCAGCTCCATCTTCACCTCCGTCAGCATCGTGTTCTGGTGTGGACACACCGTTTGCCTTCAAAATACACAAAGACAAAAGGTTTGTTTGGAAAGCAGTGAAGGGGAGATTCTTGACAAAGTTGTTTTACATTGCTTTTGCATGGTCGGTGCCATTTTAAGAGCTTCCTACAAATAATAAAGAGAATATCTATGCATCATTAGTCCACACTCTGTCAGCAGTAAGGGCCCATTAAACTTGATTAAAGAAAGAAAAGACACGGGGAAAGAAATGTGGGTAGAAGGAGAAAGCAGCTTTACTGCTAGAACTGGTCCTCTGGTATGTGCATCTCCCAAAGGGCCAGGTCAGACAGAAAGCTAAGCCTCAGCTCTCAAGGCCTTCTAAACCAGGTGACAGAGCAGACCTTCCATGTGACCCCTCCTGCCCTCTGTGTGTCTGGGACATGGACAGGAGCCACAGCATTCCCATGGCTGGGGATGGGCTCAGGACAGCCGTGCTCTGCCACTGAAGGCACTCGAGCACGTCAACCAGACAAACCTGAGCTGATCACTTCAGCACCCCTGGCAAAACTCGGGCTCTGCTGGGACACGCTGCTTCTCCTCCTGGAGAAAGGACAGGGGAGTCACTGCATTTATGTGACATGTTCAAGGCACAAGGAGTCCGACAAATTCCTCCCACCAGCTGCCGCCTGACATCCCAATTGAAAGATAACCTCCAGAGCCATAAAACTTCCCAGTGTGTTTACAGAGACTCCAAAACCCAGACTTTTAACTTCTGTATTACTGACTTCCCCTGCTCTTTCCTTTATGCTTTGTTTTGAAAGATGACATCAACTATTGCCCTTGGTGCTTTGTGCGAAATGCTGAATAGAAAGTTGGAAGCGTGAGGAGTAAACGTATTGCAAAGGGCAGAGAATAAGTCTAAGGAGGTGGGGGGCAGGAGGCCAGACAGGCTGTTTGATCAAAGACCAAAGAACAGACCTCTGCAATGTGAAAGAAGGCACAAAAATAGGAGTTTCATCTTCACCAGCAGACTTGTTTCCAGATATATTGAGTGAAAGAGGCGAGAGAATGAATCTTTGTCATCCTTCTATTTTCAAGGAAAAAGCCTTCAATTTAAAACTCCATAAAGAATTACAGAAATAGGGAAAGTAATTTATTTTTTAGTAACTCCAGCCTTTATTCACTTAACTTCAAGGCGGGCTTAAAAGAGACGAAAGTGTTTTGGTTCTACCACTTGAGGATGAAAACATTTTAATTCCCTAAAACATGGGAGGGGGCACACGCTTCTCCCGAGGTTCATATTTGCAAACGCTTTGTATCTGGAATGCAAACCTTGAATCACTTCCTAACGCTGTCACTACCCAAAGACATGTTTTATTTATAAATACAGCAGGACCATTCGGTGCTCTGCGGTACGGATATGAGGAGGCAGAGACAGCTCAAAGCTTCTCAGCCATGAAGGCACAATTCAATTTTTTCACTCTGTGGAAGGCAGACAACTTATCCTCCTCGGCAAAGCCAGCCCTGGCAGACCACACTGCCTGGCTGTGGATCACGTGGATAAGGGAGCGAGCAGCCTGAAAACATTCAAGCAACTGCCTCACCAAGCACAGGAAAACAAAAGTCAGCTCCCCAAAGACTGCCATGAAGAATGTCATTACAGAAATTACTATCCCATTTAGAACCTAATTACTGTTAGGACAAATTTTTTTCCCCTACATGGAAGGGAGCAGTCAGCCCCACTGAAGCAAAATGTTACCTCCTCATCGTCCCTGAGGGAGCAAAACAGACATTTGAGAAACAGAATGGAAGGGAAAATAGAAGTTAATGCCTTAACTTCAAAGATGCCCTGAGAATTTCCTGCCACAAAAATAATGCCAAATGGCTCTGCCTGTCTCGTGTATTAACAGCTCGCATATTTATGAGAAAAGTGGATGCCTACCTCAGCTGGGGAGGCACTGAGCCACGGAGTGACACCACCTCATTTCGAAATCCAGTCAATTCCTGAAGGACAGGGCATAAATCTCCTCAAATTAAGAAAGCTGGAAGCAGCATTCTCTGTCTGTCTCCCTCAGCTCCAGGCCCTTTTCTCAGCTCTGCTCAGCCTCTCCCAGCACAACAGCTACAAAGCATCTAAAGGGAGGTGGGAGAAGGGTCCAGGCTGGACCTGCTGACATCTGGGGGTCCTTCAGCAGGTCTCACGCCGTGACTGCAAGCCACAACACTTCTTACACCCCATCATGGTCTCAGCTCCCAGGCTCAGCCCCACCACTGTTTAACGTGGCTCTGTTTAACCGTCAGCTGCTGCACCGCTCTTTAAGTATTAATGATTTAGACAACACACTGGCAAACAAGCAGAGATGGGGAGACTGTGATTTCCACTCAGATGGATGCTACTCACTCATTAGCTTCTCTCACGGCTGTTTCTGGAATCTCCTGTTTTCAGCAGAAATTAGAGCTTTCTCCAGCCCCACAGCCCATGTCAGGCTCATTCACCACTCCCTACCAGCAAGCTGTTCAGGAGACCCATGGAATGGCAAACAGGATCGACCCATTTCTGGGACAAGATCCTCACAGGACACTGAGGACCCCATTAACTGGGACCCATCAATGCAGAACTTTCTGCTGATCTGAGGAGAGATGTCTTTTGCTTAATGTACCCCCTGCAGCAGCCCCAAGCTCAAACATGTTATCTCCATTAAAAACTCTTCACAGGCTAACGAAAACCACTGTAAGATATTGATTATTTCCTTGTTTCATTCTGTTTAATATTCCCTTTCCCTAATCAAAATGTCATAAGCAACAACAGTGAGGATTGTGCTCTCTTTTAACTGAGGCACCTCTTAACATCAGCAGTACAGCCAGAACAAGGTGAGTCACCTCTCCCTAGCTGGGAGCAAGTAAGAGGAAAAAAGGAAGATTGTGCTTCTTCCCCGTGTGCAAATTTAATTTTCTTTAGGATAAAACTTGCTTCAGGAAAATGAGCACGTGACCTTCCTCTTAAAAGCTATCACGTCAGAGCAGGCACCTCCAGGAACTGGGGCTTCAGAAGAAGAAACACCAGTCCCTCAGAAAAGGATGCTTTTGAAAGAGTTTGAGAGCAGGTGGCTGAAAAAAATAATGAAACTGGCAGGCTCTCAACTCACCGCTCTTCTGAAACTTTGGCTCATGGGCTGAGGTTGCCTAAATCCCAGTGCAGCTCTGACAATGAGTCATTTTATGACAAACCCCAGGCTTCATTATCTGCCTCACCAAACCCCAGCCGGAGCCGGAGCAACGCACTGGAAACCCACAACCTCCTCTTAACAGCTCCTTGTTTTCCCTTGGCCACACGACCATGCTGCCTGCTTGGCCTTCAGGCTTAAAGAGCTAAGGACTGTGAGAGCAGCAGCATTTGCAGCACCACTTCCTAATTCCCTGTTCTGGACGTGGCCTGGGATTTAAGGATGCTTAAGTGCTCTGCAAAGTCACACTCGAGAGCAGAATTAGAGCAGAGGTGAGAAAAAGAAGCAGAAAGAAAGTCACCGGCAGAACAACACCTGAGGTGATAATATGAAGTAAAAATTGCTCCTGACATAGTGTTATAAAGATGCAGAGCCTTTCAGAGAAACTACAGCAAAATCTTCTTTCAATGTCCCCATTCTGCAGCTGAGGATCAGCAATTTAAATGATAAAGGATCCTTGTCCCTTGCTCTGCTTTTGGGTCAGGGCAGACCTTGGCCACTGCCCCACAGGCAGGGAGATGCTGTGAAGGGTTTTGCCAGTACTGACATCCAGCACCAATTGACTCCACCCCTCCTTAAAGAGATGAACAGCAAGAGCAGCCCCTGCTTTTTGGCAAAGAGTGACATCCAAAGGGATCCATCATGAAGAACTCACTGCTGCCTCCCTGCCTCCCTCAGGGGGCCACAGAGCCCTCTTACCAGGGCTCTTGTCTGAACAAAGCAGCCCCTTCTGCAGGAAGACTGGGAAACAAATGACCCCAGACATAATAAAGATCTTTACAGCTACTCCCTAGTCAGCCAACCTGGCTTAACCTTTCCTTAACAGGATCCTCTCTACATCTCAGGGACAACTTTAACTGGGCTCATGAGACTGCTACAGTTTTCATTTTTTAAATATACGTCCATGCTGCCTGTCAATTTTAGCTCTCCCCCGCCTACACGGAGAGATCCTACTGGAAAGCTCTGACCCCCTGTGCCAAACTTTGCATACGAAGTTTTTGGCAGGAAAAAGGCCATTTTTTTGCCTCTGAAATACTGTTTGCACCGCCATGGCCGGGGAGAAGTTGGTTCCAACAGGAGGCAGAGAAGCTCTGAAGTGCCAAGTACAAACACGCCGTCGAGTGCATCCCTCCAGCCTTTGGCATGGCCATGCAGCACCAGCAGAAGAAGCACCCAAGGGGTCACACCTGCTGTCCACCTGCATCCATTTCAATCCCACAGGACAACCTGATGCTCTGTTCCACAGGCAGCAGAGCCAACACACAACGGGAATCCGCCGTCTCTAATGCCACAGCCAAGAGCAGCTTAAAATAAAACACCCAGTCCAGGGCAGCACTATAATCCACAGGGAGGAAGGACAGAACAGAAGCATCACTTGTTTGATTTGCTTTGTGAAAACTAAAATTGAAGAAAACTGCAAATCCCTGAAACTTGGGGAGGGAGGGAAGAGCAGAGAAACAATTTCATGCCAGCTATTTCTAGCGGGAAGCTGGGAAAGGGGGGACTATGACTCCATGTTGCACTGAAGGATAAACCTGCTCTCTCTAATCCAATTTATTCCTCAACATGCCCAGCACAAACATGGCTCAGGAACAACAAGAGAGGCAGTTCAGAGGGCAGGAAGGCTTGGGAGGGAGCGGCACTAAACGATAACTTGAGGGGTTAGTGAATAAATCAGTGGGAACTGCAGAGAGAACACATTTGCATCTCTTTCAGCTGCTCCCGATCAGATTTGATAGCAGCCTCTGCTTTCCCAGTCACTTAATTGTTCTGAGGTTTTTGAGGGAGAAAAAGAGTCTTTTTTTTGCACTGCAGAGTTCTGAGAAGAGCCATGCTTGGCTTAAAGAGCCACCTTACTTTAGGGAAAATGTTATTCAGTCTCATAAAGCTGCTGGACTGCTTTGCTTCAGGAGAAGCTCAATCTGTTCCACTGGCTCTGCAAGACAGAGAGGAGCTCCAGGCCTTTGCAGGGGGACAGATCCAGCCTCTGACTGCTCCTGGACGTGGGTACTGCTCCCACCTCAGACAATTATTCATGTTGCAGAAGAGACTTTGCATTTGGGGAAGAGGGAAGGAGCTGTAAGGCTGTCACAGCATCTGCCACGAAAAAAAGCAGCAGGGAAAGGTGATCCCGAGCTACAGCTCTGCCAGCTGTGCCTCTGAGAAAGCTGTGCTTTGAGGGAAGTCAGCCCAAAAAGCAGGGATGTGCCCAGAGAGGAGGCTTGGCTTACCAGGGGCTCGGGTGGCAGCGTCGCTGTCGCGCCCGTCGGGCGGGTGGTCGCTGTGGCAGCTCTCCGTGGCACTGAGCTCGGCCCCCTGCTCACTGCCCAGGCTGCTGTGGCTCCCTGAGAGCATCAGGGAGTGGGTGCTGCCCAGAGCCCTGCCCACAGCCTGGCTGGGCTCCCTGGTGGACACTGCAGGGACAGACAGAGATGCTGCTGAGAGAGCGGGAGGTGAGTGTAGATCCTAAGAGAGCAGCAGCCTCCCCGCTCCCAGCCAAGATCCCTCAGGAGCAGGGTTAAAACCCAGCTCTTGAGCTTTGCTGCCAAAATGGCACCAGAATTCCAGTGCTATAAAGCCAGGAGCGAGGAGCTGGCCGGAGATGTGCAGCCAGGAGCAGCTCCCAATGGCAAGGGCAGGCCCTGAGAGGCTGCAGGCAATGGAACGACCCTCCACCTGTTTGATCCATTGATACAATTCCAGTGAGAAAGGATCAGACCCTCACCTGGCACAGCTACAGCCAGTAGAGCAGGCAAGAGGCTGAGCCAAGACCCCCAGTACTGAGAGGCAAACATTCAAGCACTTTACAGTTCCCGCCCTCCAGCCACAAGGAACAGCAACTCCTCACCCAGTCCTGCTTGGAGCTTTCTCCCTTGTGAGCCTTTTGACCCCACAGGCACAGGCTTGTCATCCAGGCTGGAGGAACTGAGCTCCGAGTCGCTCTCGCTGTCACTAGAAACCACTGCAGGAAAGATCAGGAGGAGGAGAGGAGAGAGACAGTTATTCACAATGTTCATAACACTTTCCAAAGAGGGTGCCAGATGGACCCAAATAAAACGCAAACAAACGCTGACTCACTGGTCACGTTCCCCCTCTCCAAAAGGAGCCCTACCTGCAGTTCCCCCACAGCTGTTCACTCTGCCTCTCAAGCATGGTGTGGTTTTACTTTCTACAGATGATTTATAACTCTACTGTACACGCTCCTGCAGCAGATGCACACACCACTGGTGCTTCTCTCCTAAACCTGACTGGCACCATGGGGACCACAGTGCTCCTGTGCCACATTTTGCTGTGCTGTGGCTGGCCTGGGCACTGGGCTCTGTTCCCACTGACCCCTGTGCTGGCACCTCAGCAAGCCCCCTGCTCCTGATGTTTGCTGTCTCCCACCAGATAAATACTGAGCACATCAAATCATCCCTATCAGAAAACTGCCCAGAATTATGTTACTCCTACAACCCCAAAGCTTAAAAGGTAAGTGTCACTCCTCTTCCTCAAGGAGACTGTTCTCCCATTTCAAAACCACTTTTTTTTATTAATTTCTTTCTTCTCCCTGAATCCTGACCCTGGTCCTGGCTGCTTTCCACCCTTCATAGTTTCCACAAGAGCTGAAGGAGCCTCATTTTGCCAAACACAGCTTCCCAAACTGGCAGGTTCTTTCCACTTTTCCATGCAATTATGCAAGCACCTCTCCTGCTTATACTGGTGTAAAAGATAACTGCCAGCTTCTCTGGGTAAAATGAGAGAAAGGTTTTTTTCCCAGCTCCTGGGTTTTTGTAATGGTCTGATCTCAAACAGAAATGATGGGGCTGAGGAGGAAGGTAATGGGAAAACAACTGTCTTTTGTTTGAGGCATTGCACCTACAGTACTTCTCCATCTGACCAGGCAGATACTAGCTCTCCTGGCAGCTCAAAAGTCATCTCGAACAGCAGGTCACAACCCCTGGTAAAAAGAACAATATTGGCCCATGTGAGATAATAGAAAAGGCAACACTGCAACCTACAGCCTTTACTGTAGAAAAAGGAAGCTCCAGCTACTTTTTTAGACTCATCAGTATGTCTTTATAAGCTCACATTCATGTGAGAAACAAGTTCCTTGCTCTGCTACTGAAGAAACCACTTTGCCCCCGCTCTGCGTTACTCACTGTGCAGGAGGAACGTGGGTGCAGTGGTACAAGGTGACAACCACGGGGTAACACAGAGCTGTCAGTTCTAAAATTCACTACATGTAGTTCACAATCCCTTTAGCGCTCCCCAGGGCAGGAGGACAGGTATCCCTCCTCTTGCACAGAGCACAAGCTGTCAAATGTTTCTGCCAAGGACCTCTGCAGACACTCCTGTATTCAGGCAGGGATCTGTACTACACAAAATATTTTATTTAGAAAAAAAAAATTAATACCTAAAGTAGTACTTTTCTGGAGTTAACATCTCTGGGGATATTAAAGTTGGCTGCCAGTGTTATTGCACAGCATTATTGCATTTGCCCTTGCAGGCAGCTCCCCATGCACACCCGCTCCTGTGCAGCCTTTCCCCACACTGGTTCCTCCTGCACCCCCAGCCTTCCCCTCCCATCATCATCAGGAATGGGACCTCTCACCTGCAGGGAAAGGGGCTGTGGAGCTGAGCTGGGCAGGGAGTGAAGCCCTGTTACAAACTGGGGGGCTGCAATGCTGGCTGAGAGTCCTCAAAGCAAAGGTCTGGCTTTGTTGTCTTAACAACAGCTTCACTCCTTCCCCACAACTTCCTGGGAGAGGCAGGGGATTATATATAAAACTGTTAATAACAACCCATACATACCAGAATGCATTTTTTTTTACTATAAAATCCAAATCTCAGCTGTAAGAGTCATTTTGACCATCCCATTGCTCAACTCCCTCAGAAAATGAACTCCTGTTCCACTTGGTCATTATCCTTTCTTTGGCCGCAGAGATGCATAAAATCCATTGCTTTAGAACAGCTCCTTCCTCCATGAATCCTCTCAAAATGCTGGAAGTCAGGATTTATTTGGAGAAGGCCCCAGTGAATCAGTGGAGGTGACTTTAGCTGCCTGCCCTTCTGCCATTCAGTAGTTCAGAGAGAACCAGCACAAGAGGAAGAAAATATTAATGGCACGAAGGCACTTGCACCACAGGAGCAGCCCTGTCTGCTCTCATTTCCTCTGCTGCCAATAAGAGTGTATTTTACTCACTGCACCAATGTTTCCCTTTAAGGTAATTCTTCATCCAAAGCTCCCAGACCTTCTGCTGGCACTTTCCAGAGCCCAGAAGTATTAAATCTGGTGTTCCAGCAGTTGCTGATATATCAATAAGAGTCGTTGGACAGCTGTTCTTTGAGAGAAGGGAACAGATTTATCCCTATCTCCAGCTGACTGGAAAAAAAGCTCATAAAAAATATGCTGAGATAAAACTTGCTAGAAAAGCAGTATTCCCACAGGGAATGGGTCACTCATGGAGGGCCTGAAGCCCTGCAGCTGCTGGCAGAGCCCACGATCCCTATGGCCGGTGGCTCAATCTCAAGCCAGAGGCATCGGAGCCTTGTGGCACAGAGAGTCACAGGGAATGGTGGAGGGCTGCTGGCTGCACTTAACCCCAGCAGCAGAGGACTGTGGGGGGAGGTTGTGCTGAGGCTGGGAACAAGGAGCATTTGGCTGGGGCTGAGCTCTGTTAGTCAATGCGTGCACTTGGCACGAGCACGGCTGCGCTGGAAGAGCCAGCCACGCTCCCTCCTGCTGCCCGGCACAGGGCAGAGCTAAGCCCCGGCACACACCACACTTGGCGCTTCCTGCAGCTGTCAAAAAACACAGGAAAAGCACAAGGACACCCTGCAGCAACAGCTCCAACAGCCACACACCCCTGGCACAGCCCAGAGGCAGCGGGTGAGCGGGCTGAGCACGAGCCCCTGAGCACACGGATCCCCTGCGGCACCCGGATCCTTGGCACACACAGCCTTCTGGTCCCTGCAGGTGGGAGAGTCAGAGATGATGAGTGTTTTTACAACCCAAGTGTCTCACTGAGGGCAGCTCCTGCACTGGATCACACCCAGCACTGCCCACAGTTGCAGGAACATCCCTAAGCAGGAGGAGGGGACTGGACTAAACCGCTCTCCCTTTCAGGAACAGCACAAGTTGCAGCTTTGTCACTGTCCAAAGTTGTTGGCAAGTTGGAGGACCCCCCTTGGTGGCCTGCTAAGCTGTTGACATGCCCCAGCACACTCCTCTCTGCTCCATCACTCAGGGATTTGGCCTCCAGCACACAGACACTGGATGAACCCCAGGCATCCCTTGCTCTGCCACTGTCCAGTGCTGCCACCAGCACCAAGCACAGCATGTTGCATTGCTTGGCAACACAGAGACCAAGCAGAGCAGCAGGCAGCCCTCATGCCAAACAGTACAACAGCTCAGGGAGCACACTTTTTTTTTTTCCACTCAGATGCTTTCCATTTCTTTCTGCAGAACTCAGAGTTTGGAAGAAGGAAAGCCTTGCTGCTATTGTTCCCCACCCCCTGACGCCCCGTCCCGCCTGACCCGGTGCAGAATCCCACCCACATTCCACCACATGGAGCAGAGCTGTTCCCCAGCACAAGAAATATTACTGCTGTTCTCCCCCTGACAATACATTTGCGCCTTAACTAATAGCAGAGTTCCCATGGCAACTGCTTGTTTATTACAGAAAAACTATAGGCAACAGCAAATCCCAGTGTCCGTGAGCACAAGAGAAACACTTGGGTGTGCAAAAATAAAACTTCATCCTTGTGGGGTTGGCTTTTTTTCCAAGAGGCACATTCCTGTGCTCCCTTGGTCCCGCTGCAGTGGGAGCAGTCAGTACCCAGGGCCTTGCACTAATCCCTTGCTTTTGAAGGGGGGAAAAGGGACACTTGAAGTTTGTCCCATCCCTGCTGAAAGGCAGCTCCTGGCATGGAGGATGTCCAGGGCTTGTGGCAGGACTTGGCTACACCTGTGCTGGTCCCACCTGACTTGAATCCCTCAGTAGCTCAGAGCTGGCTCCTTCAGCACGCTGGAGGTGAGTGGAGGGGTTAGACATGGTTTCCAAGATAATGGAAACCCCACGGAGAGCAGCCTGTCAGAGGCAGGCATGTTAAATGCCAGAGCTCATTCCCGAGAACATCCTGCCAAACAAGCAACAGGGCTTTCCTCAGTGCCGAAAGGACGTGTTTGGATGAGGGTGTACAAGGTGTGAGCTGACAAATGCTATCAGCCAGGCAGGGGTGAGCCAGGCTGCCTTGTTAGTCACGGCCTCGGAAAGCTCAGTCCAGGCCCAGCTGTGGATTCACAACGGCAATATCATGGATACACATCTCCACAGGGGAAGGTGGCTGCCCTGCACACGGCACAGCTTTGGGATGACAAACAGCAGGAGCCTCAGCACTGGCAGGGGAAAAAGACTTAAATGGAGGGGCGAAGTGTACGAGCTCCCAGCTCCAGAGATGAATTACAGCCCGCAGTGCCCACTGAGAGCTGTCCAGAGGACAGGCAGCCTAACAGAGAAGGGCAACAGGGAAAGAAAGCACCAGAAAATAAAGCCATAAATTAGTATTATCCAACCCATAAAACAACAGCCAGACAAACATCACAGGGCAGGGAGAAAGGCAGCTCGTCAACCGCATCAAAGCTTACCAAAGGTCACTTTGCTGTCCTCCCCCTGCTCCTCTGCTGCCCTTGCCAATATTTATGGGGAGGCCTTCTCCAAAAACTAAACTCAACTAAAAAGCCGAACTAAACAGCAGGTCAGGTCTAGGCTCAAAAGCTTTGACTCCTAATGTTTTCTATATCACGTTAACAAAAAACAACCTCATCAATCAGTCTCTTGGCTAAGACGACTCCTTCCAAGCATCTCCTGGAGGGAAGCACAACCATCTACTATTGATCTAATTTGCTTTTAATTACAGAAGTTACAGTAGGGCTGGGAGTGCTTTCCTAGCTGGGGCCTGAAAAGAAGGTTTGTAAACCCAAGTCTCCTGAGCCCTCTTTATTAAAGGGTTATTTCCCCCTGCACCACTGGTAAGTGGAAGAGTGCACGCGGCTCGTTTGCTGAAGAGGACTTCCCCAACTGAGGGGATCTAACAGCAAAAGAAGGGGAGAGAGGCCAGACAGTTCTGCTAATCCACACCAGAAAGAAAGGAGGAGAAATCAAAGCAGACTGGCAGCAGCTCTAATTCTGCAGCACTCAGCCACTGCTGTGCTGACGACCCTGAGCACTCGGCTCCTCAATGCTGAGCTGCTGCATCCCCCTCCCAGCTCTGGGCACAGCACTGGAGTGGGTGTGTGAGCAACAACTGGGTGGGCAGATGGAAGAGAGAGGGAGGAAAAGCCCTACAAGGCAGTGCTGTGAATGGGATCTGACAGGGCAGCGATCCAAGATGAGATACAATGGTCTACTTCAATCAAGATCTCCCCCAAAGAACAGAGATGTGAGCTGAAGCTAATAAACCTTCAGGCTTGTCAGTGCTCTGGCCTCAGCCCTGCACAGGGCCAACTTAATCAACAGCTTCTCCAAAAGACATTTAAAGGACAGCTCAGCCTTGAGCTCTCCATGCTGCAAACCTCAGCCCCCTCCCCAAGGCCTGGGGACAGAAGTCACGCTTTCCTGACACCTGCTCAGAGGGTCAGGCACAAAAGGACACAGCCAGCAGCAGTTCACTCCTGCCCACTGCCTGTTAGAAGAGTGTCTCTGCCCACTTGCTCCAGGCCTCAGGAAATCCCCAGGGAGATGCTGGCGGTGTTATTTTCTAACTCATCTCAAAGCAACTTGGAGGATCTGCCCAGGGATCTTCTGCAGAGCAGCAGAAGCAAGGAGCAAGCACCCCCAGGGAGGGACGAATGAGATCAGCCTTTGGTCAGCCTTGGCTGCACAGCAATGTCCATCAGTGGCACAATCCCAAGGAGTTCAGCAGGAGCAGCTCTTTGGGCTGTGACTGCAGACAGGTGCCTCTTCCACAGCTCATCTCTCCCTTGGCAGTCCCAGAAAAACAGTGGGAGGTGCAAGGAATGGAGGAAAGCAGAGAGAGACTGAAGGAACAGGAGTTCAGGAGGACTGGGACTAGTCTGGGCCCTGCACTTAACTAACAGTGAACTCTGAAAAAACATACAGTGGCATAAAACCCCAGCACTGCCCACACAGGAAACACATCACCCCTCGTGGGATAACCCTCACCTCTAATAGAGGGCCTCCCCTATTAGCTGAATCCTGCTAGCAACAGTAGAAGCCAGGTCCTTCTCCCACCTGATTTCTGGGCCTTTTTGGGCAGCAGACAACCCACCTTTTCCCCTGGCCCAGGTGAAGGATCGGCTGGTCCCGACGCTCTCCGACTCCGGCACGGCCGGCTCGCTCTGCCACGGCTGTGAGTGCAGCTCAATGGGTTTGCTGCTGCTCTTCAGAGGCGTGATGTACTTGGGCAGCCCTTTGTAGAACCACGCCCCAGACCTCTTCCAAACCTGCCAGAGACAGAGACACAACACCTTAAGCCTGGGTTTTTACAGCACGAGAGCACAACCACCACAAAATGAGCTCCCCACCAAGCTCAGCCCAGCCATTCCCTGCAAGCTACCTGGACCCCACTCAAATATGGGAGAAACAACCCTTCCAGGTCACAGAGCCCAACAGTTCCCCTGAAATCTGCATCTACCATAGCATCCCAAATTCCTCCCCAATCCTTGTCAGCCCAGCTCTACCTCACTCCTCCCACAACTAAAAAATGACAAATGTGAATGAGCAGCAGGCACAGATTGAAGGAGGAGCAGGTGACTGTGCAGAGCTTCCTATGTTCTCATGTCATGACTGGATGTTTCTCTGATGCTGTGCTTGAGTCAAATACACATTCCTAGACTTAACACACTGGGATGAAGTTCCCTGTCCTGCACTAAGTTCAGCAGTTCAGATTCTGCATCTATTGCTCTCCCACTGGGAATACACAAAAAGAAAAGCACCCTGGAGAGAGCAGGCAGGTGCCATGAGTGGCAAGAGCCCCAAGCACATGCTCTGCTTAGAGTGAAACAAGCCCTGCACTGGCTGGAGGAGCAGAAAGCCCTGACAAGTCTCTCTTCCTGGGATGGGTCCCTCAGCCTGGGTTGCTTTACTTCTGACAGTCAAAGTCCAGCAACAGCTGGAGAATGGGACAGCAGAAATGTCCCCTCGTGTCGAACTGAATGGCACAACCTCAGTGTTCATCTCACAGAGCAATTCAGGCCAAGCCAGATCATTTAATGAGCCTGAAAACCCCAGAACGAGAAGAACAACACTCAAATAACCTGAACCTGGAGCAGGAAATGGACTGCAAGCACTAAACTGTAATATCTCCTGTAAGAACGGCCTCTCCTCTCCAATTTAGTTTTAATGCAGCTTATGATGAAGGCACTCTATTAAGTATATTTAATATAAAGCCTGATGTGAGCCAGAAGAAGGGAAAAGGGTGGCAGCTCAGACAAGGAGAAATGGCCTCTACAAACCTAATTCTTTTGTGCCTTCCAGCAGTCTAATAATGAGCTAATGAGACAGCCAGGGCAAAAATACGTTAATATAGTAAAAATATCATTTTTTATTTCATGCAAGGAGGTAGAAACCTTGCACTGTTGTTCAGAGCGAAGATCAGTGTTTTCACTCCAAGTTCCCAAAGCATTTCACAAACAGTATCACTATTATGGCAATGGGTGCAAATGCAGATACCCCTAATTGCAGCAATACATTTGTAATTTGCATTTAGGGCTTAATCAGAGGGCAGTGACAAAACCTGGCACTCAGGAGTTCTCCTCACACAGGCACAAAAAGCAGGACACCAGAGGTCCCATTTCACTGATGGGAGGAGATTGCTCAGCAGGTTGCCTGGTTCCTTGTTCAGAGCCATCAACACTGAGAGTTCAAATCTCTGTGTTTGGGGTCTTGAAAACCAAGTGACGGCAATCTGAACTCAGGGGGGAACCTGATAGTAAGGTTTTTAAAAGAGCACCCAGCAGAAGACAGCAGAGCATTGCTGTGACCCAGCACACACATCAGTTATAAGAGTGCAAGAGAGACACTTGTGCAGCAGGATTTAGAAACCAGTAGGTGAGAGCACCCTACAATTACACCAACATTTTCCTGGTGGGTAACATCCCAGATGGATGGTGAGGCTCACATCCAAGCAAATAGCTGGGAAGCCAATTTCCCAAGACTGCAAGTTCTTCTACAGAGAGGGGGTCTTGGCAGGCAGGACACTTTACCAGCTCCTTCACCCCTGTGCCAACAGCCAAAACAGTGACCCAGCCAGTCAAGGCACAAGCTGACACAGCTCCTTCTGTCCCCTCTGCCAGCACATGGGGACTGCACAGCCTTTGGTACAGTGTGTACAACAGCACACGTCAGTGCAGCACAGAAACCCCGGAGCAACAGGCTCTTCTATCCCTGCAAACCCAAGAACTGGGAAATGCAATATATTTTTTAAGTCTGGGATGGACAGCTCTGCACGGAGCTTAGCCCACTGCAACTCAGGTGAAGATGCACCATGCAGGAGCTGCAGGCTGGGTAAGCCCTGGTCTCCCTCATGAGAGGAAGGCTGGAGGCTTTGGGAGCAGCTGCACACACAAGACACAGTGGAAGCACAAGGACTGTGGCAGGCACAGGGTTTGCACCCTGAGCAGCACCACGGCTTGAGGAGAGCAGGTTGTCCATCCCCTGATGCTCAGTGAGTAGCTGGGGCACACATACCTTCCTCCATAAACTGCTGGGGAGGAAACAACCCTCTGGTACAGCCGTTCTCTGAACAGACCTTGCAACATCTGTAATTTAATTTGAAGCACTGGAGAGACCTATTATCTTCAGGCGAACTACAATTTAGGCACACCATAAAACCAATCAGACACAGCACGGATGGCTGCAACAAAGGCTGGTCGCCCCCAGGTTTCTCACTACCCCAAAGCAAGTCGTTATAGAAAGAGTTAATGATATAATACACCCAGCTCTGATGTGGTAATAGTAGTATAAAATTGATTCTCTGCATACATATTCGCTTTAAATTGGTGCCTCTAATAGAGTTTGGTCCTATTACAGCAGCACTGAAATAATTTTGAGATCAGCTCTAAAACAGCTGCAGCAAGACGCTCTCCCCTGTACGAATTCAGTCCCTCTGCCACCCCAGTTTAGCAGCACGGCCCATCCCAAACCACCACGGATCACGTTCTGTTCTGCACATGGGCACAAGGGGCAGTTTTAGTACCCATGCATCAAAACAGATCGATGCTGCTGACTGCTATTGATGGCAGTTTGACTGATCTCGAGTGGCCTGACAGCAAAGTTCTTGCTTGATTTTAAATTGATAAATCTGTAATGGCGCTCCAAGAATAAAACTCCTGTTTATTAGCAGGAGCTGACTCTTGCCAAGGAAGAGAGAACGTTGCCCCCACCAGTCCCGTGCCCCACAGCAGCCTGAGTTTGGGTGGAGCTGGAATTTCACCAGCCAGCCCCTTCTAGTCTCTTGCAACAACCCAGTTTTGAGGAACATTGATCATCCCTTGCTCTGAGTGCTCGACAGAGGGGAGTAAAGATCAGTATCTGCATTACTCCAGATTGGGGTGGGGTGGCCCTGTGTGTGGCTCAGGACAGAGCAGCCACACCGCAGTTCACCATCTGTCCATGGCCCTGCACTCAAACTGGCCCAACACAACCAAAATCCACACTAAACACCAACTCCCTTCAGGCTCCTTGTCCTTCTGCCTCCCCTGACACCTAAATTACTCCAAAGCAAAGCAGGTGAGGAGAGCTATTCAGCACCACACTCCTTTTATTACTTCAAACCAATTTAATAGTCATAGCCATGACAAGTCCAGAGGGCTCAGTGCCTTTTATAACCCTGATAATATTCCTATTAAAGTTGCATCAAGCCATCATTACAGCTATAGGATGAGAAACGCAGAACTAGATGTGTATTTTATCGAGCACTTTCAAGTGCAGCCTGTAAATGGGACCTAACAGAGAATTGCTGGGCCCTGGTGAAACCCATGATACTGCTCAAACTTCTCTGAGCATACAAGTGCTAAAACAGGCTCCTAAACAGGGAAAACATTACGACTTGCTGATGAAGGGATGGTATCACAGCTGAAGGAATCATAACAAACACTTGCAGCCCCCCTAGAGTTCTCTTCACCAAACCAGGTCCCCTAAACAGAGCTGCTTTTGCTGCAAAGCCACATTTTGCTCTACCACCTCCTGCTTGTGCCACACGGTCGCTGTTCTCACCCTGCAGCCCTTTCCTTCACAGCAGTCCAGGCTTGGTGAGAGGAAAACCACTACCTTTAGCTTCCCATGCTGACACCAACAACACCGCTCAACCCCCCAAAAAGTGGGGGAGCAGGTTCTCGTGGGCTACGGTGAAGAGAAAGGCACCTGCAAAGCACAGCCACCCTGGGAGCACCTCGCTGCCATCGCCTGCAGGCAGCACATGCCCACACACTCACTTTGTCCCAGCTCTCCAGCACGGCTCTGGCACGCTGCAAACCACTGGCAGGGAGAAAGAGCGAGAGCTCTTCAGCTTCGTTATTTGCATTCATCTGCTTTTCCATAACACAGAGATTTCCAATTACATTATTTACAGCAATCTGTTGTCAACTCCCACATTCAGCACTTGAGGACGAAGAAAATTAAAAGGCAGTGGAATTACTATTCGGAGCTTTGTTTCCGGAATAGCAAAATCTATCGCACCCCTGACCCCGACGCTTCTCAAGCTGCAGTGGCTGCCAGCCTTCAACAATTTATCATTCCACTTTCAATCAGGCCTCTTCTTTTTTTTTCCCCCGTGGCTCTATTCTAGAGGACACTATTTTGAGTCTGACTACTTGCCACCACCCCCAAAATAATATGGCAGAGGCTACTGATGAGTTCTTTCAATTGCAAACAGGTGCACATCCCTCCGGTTCAATCCGGAGTCACCCAAAATAAACACTCCTCTCCATCAGTGTGGTGTTTTGCCAAGAAACCATCATGCCAGGCAGGAATAACCCCGGGCTACGTTGCTTTATAATGTTCAAAACGGTATGAGTGTGTACGTGAAAAGGGAAGCCCTGGGGGCAAAAGGGGAGGAGACGACTCCCGTTCCTCCAGCGCGGTGATGTTCCTCCCCTGCACGGTTTATTGTGATAAACTGAGAAACCCAGCCAGCCACGAAAACGCTGTTCAGTGGAGGAGAAGAAATTAAAAGGAAAGTGAAGCAGAGGGGGCAAATTAAAACTTTTAACAGGTCCCTGATAGCCGACACTCTCTTTCATATTCGATGGGGTTTTATTTAAAAAAAAAAACCAAAAAAAAACTCTCTCTCCCCCCACTCTTCTGAAACCGCTTTCATTATCGCTACAATTTTGGATGTGTCAATTCAAATGTAAATGTGCGAGAATGCTTCCAAGAGGATTTTAATTACGATGATAGCATCGCTAATTATGGATATATAAAAAATAATATATATATATATAAAAAAAAGGGGTAATTCGGGAAGGTGCTTTGCAGAACCTGGTGGTATCAGTCAAAACAAGGCTGTGCAGAGAGTTAAATGGTTGGGCAGGGATTTGACAAACCACAGCAGGTCCCTTTTTCCCCCTTCAGGCCAGGAGGTGACAGGCAGGATCCAGCCACACGCGACTAATTCAGCATGGGCACTGCTGCCCAAGCTGTTATCAAGCTCACGTGCTCTGCCAGAGGCCTGGCAGCAGGGAATCATTCCAGCTGTATATATATCCACCACTGCTCCTCCCAGGCAAGTCCTGCTCCTCTGACAGCTGCTGCAATAAGCCTGTTTCACTGGAGGACCTGCTCCCTTTCTCATTCCCATGGGTGCTTCACTGCCACATTAGCGAAGAGACTCACTGCAAACCCACAGTCAGTGTTTGCTGCAGTCAGGGATCAGCACCCCTACCATGCCATGGGATTCTATACACAGGCAGGAACAGGACTGCCCCAAGGAGGATCAGCCCTCCGTGCTGTCTTCAGAAAGGCAGAGCAAGATCAAAGCCAAGAAAGGTGATGCAGCACAGGGAGGAGGGAATTAGGAAGGGAGAGTCTTGCCCTCAAAACTGAATGGAAGCTTGATCAAATTTGTTTCTACCCTTGCTTGCAGGAACACTAAATCACAATCCACATCGGCTTTAATTCCACTGACCTCTGAAGACATTGCAAAGAAAAACAACCACAGAATCCTGGAAGAACAAAAGAGGGTTTTCCACAGCTGCCTCTGCAAACACCTGGGACAACTGGACTCTCCCAACAGGCCAGTTCTGGCTTACAGCAGGTGAGCTCTATCTTATTTCAGGAAGAAGAGATGCACTGTTGATGCAGGGTCCTTGGGGATGCTCTCTTTGCCAGGAGGAACACCCAGGCCCTGTCAGGTCCTGGCCATGTTAGAACACAGTACTTTCCTCCCAGTTCCTCCTGGCCCCTTGGAGACCCTCACCCTGTGCCCATCCCGCAAGGCAGCTCCAGCAGTGCCAAAGGCTCTGCTTTGTTTCTGGATCACTGGGATGCACAGCAGCAGGCAGAGCCCATTAATCGCCTCCACTCTCCAGAAATAAGACAGTGTCAGAGCACGTTGTTCCTCATCTCTATGCAGCACAGCCTTCCCAGTGGAGGTTTTCAAGGAAACAGAAAGCAGCACAGAACACCTCTGAGTGGCTGAGGCTGTGGACAGCAAGCACTCGATTCCAGCTGAAGAACTCATCTAAACAACAGCTTGCTACTTCGGTCTTCATTTGACCCAGGCAAAGTGATGATTTAATCATCACTGGAGCCAGCTCAGATTCTGGTCCACACAGCAAAAGGGGGAAATGACTGCCACATGTCACTAAACTTACGCTGGTTCAAACTAAGCCTGCAGGGATAAATAATAATAAGGAAGGTGGAGGGATGAAAGCTTTGGCATATAGGAACAATGCCCCACACTGCAGCTGTTAGCTAGTACATGGGAATGTCCAACCCCACCATCCTGGCCTGAGAGCCTGGTGAGACACAAGTGCTCATTTAGTGCATGGCAGAGGCTAAGGGAGACAATTACAGTCCGAGGCTCTCCTTCCAGCCAGATGATGCTGATTAACTCCAGCCAACACCATTTAGTCCACTTGGGTTTCCAAATGACCTCCCCTTCCCACTTCAGTGCCTGGCAGTCTCTCACTAACAGAGTCAAGAGCTTCACCAATATCATGCCCAAATAGCTTGAGCAGTGGTTCAGAAAATCAGACGGCGATCAAAGTGCTGATGTGGAGGGAACCACCTCACCTGGAAACACCACATCCCATCACACACCTGGGGACAGGGACTGCACCAGCATCAAACACTCACCCACTACAGTGGTCAAGTTTAGGTGTTGCCAGAGCTCTGTGGCCTGGGACCAGCCTTCCTTAAGTCCATATCTGGTTGGCTAAAGGAGAACCTTGCTCAGTCACGCTGTGCACCGACAAGGGGAGAGAAGAAGGGTGATATGGACTTGTTACTCCATCACACAACCCTAAGTGCTCCAAGGTGTTCCTGAAGCTCTCTGCCTGGATTCCAGGAAGTAAAATGAGGCTGATACCTAATCACCACATGAGGGATTCAGAGGTTAGACAGAAATGAGGCTATCTGATCCCAGAGAGCAGATACCCATCTGCACTCATCAATAGCAAATATCACCTGCAGCAAAGAGCATGGCCAAATGGGTTTGGTCCAGAGCAGACAGCAACACGAGACAGTCAGACCACAGAAACAGACACCAACAAGGCACTGGTTGTGAACACAAGCTCTTAAAAGAAACCTGTTAATTTAGTGCATGCCCAGTAATATAATTATACCTGAACCAGCTTCAGAGACTGCACTTGTACCAGCCATCAGCCTGAGGCCCAAGAGCCTCATCTCTTCCTCACACACTTAGCAAAGACCAAAGCCACTAATCAAAGCCATTGATCAAAGCCACTGATCAAAGTCACTTTCCAGGCATTTATTCTGATTTGCCTCAACTTCCCTGCCCTGGCTGACATGCCTCAAGGCTTCTGCTATTTCTCAATTCCCAATTCCCTCAAAATAAAGGCAGGGCATGTGGGAAGACAGAGGGGATGTATGACTTGATGTCTGGCTGCGTGTCCACACTGTGACCCTTCCAACCTTCTCCTGTTCAGGGCACCAGCACCATCACAAACAAGAAAGGAGACAGACCCGAACTGACCTTAAAGAGGATAGAAAAACAAAGCAGAAGCTTAGAGCTGGGAGGCAAGATGGGGCTATATTTTAGTTAGTCTAAGAAGGAAAGTTCCATCCATTTCCATCAGGAAAGCACTTTGGTTGTATCTCAGGTTTCACAGAGAGAGAGAGTGCTGAAGGTTATCGTACCCTCACACACTGGCCACAGGTAACACATACCAGACAGGTTAATATTCTCTGTCCAGTGACCAGGGTTCCTTATCGTTTTTTGAAGAAATAGGAAAAAAAAAACAGTTGTACAGACTGAGATAAATAAAAACCAAAAAAACACAGAAAAAAACAGACTAAAAGAAATAAAGTAAATTTTAGCCCCATACCCATTTCCCTGCAGAGCACAGAAAATACATACACCTGCCTCACTCTCTATTTTGGGATCTCTGTCCGGAATTCAAAACATCTGGATGATTCAGTGTATCAAATTATTATCAAAACCCAAGGAGCTCTGCCTGCCCTACCCACACTGCTGTTCAAAAGTTATGTATCCCTCATCCTGCCTGAACACGGGCTTTACGAGCGCTCCCACACAAACAATCCCCTCCAAAGGAAAACCCAAGCAATGCTGAGTTTCCGCAACTAGCATAAAAAAAAAAAATTCTGCCTCTCTAACACCTGCACAAACGCTGTCACTGCGCCTCAAAAACTGATTTAGCAGAGCACCCAGGTTACACACTCGGTTGTGCTGGTCAGAAACAGCTGCACTGGATTGATGCTCAAGGACCACAAGCAAAAGACAAAAATAAATTGATGGGAACGAGCGAAAATCTGTCTGTGATCACAGCACAAATTCGTGGACTTCACCACAGAGCAGCGAGCCCTGATGTTGGTGGATGCTGGCTGGCAGACAAGAATTGAGGCAGCCCATTACTTTTTTGCAGTGCAAAGTCGAGGACGAAGGATATAAAAATCTAGAGAGCTGCGTTATAAGTCTCACACTGGCAAGTTATGGGATTTTGCAGGCGAGGAGGAAAACAGATTTAAAAGCTGCAATCCCAGTTATTTTTAGAGGGACAAATATTGCAGTTACGCTCTACATCTCTGAAGCTGTATTAAAAAAAAAACAGTTAGCCAAGTTTATTTGCCACAGAGCCAGGAGGGAAAGAGTGTAAGGTAACAGTCTCTTTATGGCCATGGCTAGAAAAATTCCACAAAGCCATACAGGCTCCAGGTGCCAGTGAGGTTTTTCTCCTCCACCCCCTCATAAACCAAAGTTGTCACCACTGTGTGTGTTTGAGCCTGCCTGGCCTCCAGCCAAACCTCCCAAACCCCATCCCAAGCTGCCTCACAAGTGTGGAGGCACGGGGAAGAGCTCAGGCAGGCTCCACACAGACTTGGGGCAGGCAGGTGAAAGCTGCTGAGCCCCATCTCTCCACAGCTGTATTTTACCTCTCTCTGTTCACTGCAGATCTTGCACAACCAAAGGGGACGTTTCTGGGCTCCAACGGTTTCTATTCCACACTTGGTGCAAACTTTCTGAAACAAGGAGAGAGAGAGAGAGAAAAAAAAAAAGTGGTGTTGGCAACTCTCCACAGCCACAGAGCCCTTGGGAGAGAGAAGGGTGAGAAACACCTCTCTCAAGAGCTCTGTTTTGCTTTCCTTAGAAACCTAAACACGGCACAATTTTCTTATTTATCCTGGAGAACCATTCATTGCAGGAAGCTGCTTCAGATGTATATGCATGAGACAAAGGCAAACCTACAGCACAGCCCTTGACTCCAGAGAAAGAACTGCACAGGGCAAATCAAACCTCATGACCCATAGACATATTTCCAGAATGTTGTTTTTCTTTTCCTCTGAATCCTAAACCCAATCTCTGTGGCATGGAAAGCAGCTGTAACCAAGTACAAGACTGGAAATCCTCTCCTCCCCTCCCTCACACACAGAGTCTTAAACCCCACAGCTTCCCCTCCAGTTCACCACACGCTCCTTGCTATTGATTTGTGGTGTTTAGGAAGTGGGAGGACCACGGCTACACACACATTTCCTGAATGCCTGACAGCCCTTATTGCTGCACAAGGGACCTTTCATGTCTCCGCTGGCACTACAAGCCATTTACAACCTGAATCACCTAATATTATATAATGAAGCTGATGCCTATCAGCCTTGGCATACAGCTTGAATGAGAAATTGGATGAATTCTTTGATCCTCACAGAGCAAAAGCCACTCGCAAGAGGGCTCTGGAGAGCAAAACCTTGCTGAGAAATACATGAGAATTTGATATCCCCAGGTGAGGTCTTACATATCCCCCTAACCAGGCTCCCGTGAGCCTGGAGGTCTGTGTCCAGGGACAAAGGTCTCAGTGGCTCAGTCAGCCCTCAGTGCCCAGCTCTGGAGGAGGAGAGTGGCAGAATGATGGTACCTGAGGCAGTGGCATCATTGCATGAATAAACACCCAACTGTTTTGGTCAGTGTAGTCCAGAGGAAGGTCTGTGCCCAACTCATGCTGCACAGAAAGCAGGGAGGCACCAGCAACCCCACAGAGGTTGGTGCTCTTCTCCATCTTGCTGTTCCTGCCCTCATTCTCACATGGAAACAAGGAACAACCTATTGGGTCGGGTGCATCAAAACTCAAGCCAAGGGGGATTTGCAGATTCAATCAGCAGACACCACCTGAGCTACCCCCAACTCTCCCTGCCTCAAACCAAGACTGAGGGAGGAACTCAGTCTGAAATACCCTCAAAGATCCCAATCCCCACACGAATAGCACATTCAAACGCTCCCTCTAGTGGAAGCTTCCAACCGATTTTACTCCCAGCCATAAATTTTCAAAATTCCAATACTGAACGGCGCTTTCCTCCTCCCCTTCTCTGCAGACTAGCTGGAAAACTGAGCAACACTCACAACCCCTCAGAAGAAGACATAAAAATCAAGGACATTTAAATGCAGCCCCATTTCTCATTAAATACAAGACAAAGCACTTTCTTCTCCTACTCACAGATCACCTTTTATACAGGATACCCTCTGCATGGTAAACGGCACACTGTGCTTTGTCTAACTACTGCCATTGTTAACACATCTGGATTTGCAAGCATCTTTGTCTTGACATAATGGCTTCATTTCTAAGATAATAAAAACTAATATTAAAAGCATTCTTCATAAAGCAGAATGTGGCACTTAGAAAATCCGTCAGGCTACAAGAAATGCAAGAACCTCCATTCAGCAGAAGGGGCTTGCTGAGGGTAAATTCTTTGCTATGTTTCAGATGCATCATTACAATTCCAGTTATTGAATTAAACAGGCTGCAATGAGATGGTAACAGAGCACTGCCTGCAAGAAAAATATGAACTTTAAAAATCCAGAATTCCCTGATAAATTGCTTATTGCATACAGCACTGCACAAGTGATGGATGTCCCTGGACAAGAGGGAACAAGCTTGAAGCAGGAGTTCACTCTGTGTGCTCTGCTGGAGGGGTGACTGTTCCCTGAGTTCACTCCACAACATTAAAAAGGAGCAAGGCGAGAAGCCCAGGGCACCCAGGCAGCACTTCCCTAGGCTTGCACACAACTGAGAAGTGCAGTCAAGCTACAAGCAGCTGCAAAAAGCACACAGGAAAAGTAGGGTCTCACCCTAAATCAACCTGGATATGAATGCTCCTGAACTGCCCAACAGACTTCAGACAAAAAGTGAATAACCATAAATAAAGACAAAAACCCATCCTTTCTCTGGGGTTTTCTGGTGACAGCCCTCCCAGAGCCTCAGGCTCATGCTGTGCCACCGGCTGGGGGTTCCTGTCTGCAGCTGCAAATGGAAAAGGCTGGGAAGTCCCTGAATCAGCTTCTGCCTCCTCAGTAGTGTACTGGGCTCACAGGAGGGAGGTTGGAAAGCCCTGTGGCAACATGACCTAGCTGGCTTCTGACAAGGTGAGAGCAGAACTGCCAGGGGAAGAAGGCAGGAATACAGCACATCCTGTTATTCCACATGCTTGAAACACAGGAAGCAGCCTGCCATCTCCTGTCTGCCACCCATTCTCCACAGGCCACGTGCACACAGACCACGCTCCTCTCAGAGCCACCCCACAGCTCCCATTCAAACCAGACCTTTCACTTCCCAGTACTCTACTGCTGCTCCCTTCCCCACCACTTCCTCAAGAGCTACTTTCTCCCTGGTTTAGGACCCAGGCACTCAAAGATTTGCATTTCCTTTCCCAGACACTGCCTTACACAGAATCTTCTGCATAATCCCTGCATCAGTCAAGATACTTCTGCAAACTGGATCCAGTGAAGAAACCCACTTGACAGCAGAGACAGCACAGCTCCCAGCAGCTCCCAGCCCTGCAAGTGTGATGGAAGGGTGCAGGGACCTCGGGTCTGACTGCATGGGACACCCACCTCCCTTTCCTCTCCCACAAGAGCTTCAAGAGCAATGCTGCAGCCAACTGTGGACCAGTGCAGCCCCAGTTTGGCAGCCTGCTCTGCATGAGAACTGCATCTCACTAACTCCAGCACTGCCAGCACAGAAGGTTCTCCACCGTGGCCTGCACGGCCCCTTAACCACAGAGGTGCCAACACGCAGCACTCCACAGTAAAGCTGCAGGTTTTACTCTGTGGGCTCCACAGGACATCTCCTCGGTGACAGGCTGGGTGACACTGGTAAGTGTCTCCTTGATGCCAGTACCCAACAGGGACAGAGTCAGCACAGGCTGCTCCCTTCCACCCAACCACCATCGAGTCAGAAACACTCCAGCACACAGCAGGTACCCTCACCCCTGCACAGGTAACACGCTGAGATGAGTAACTTACAGAGGTGTCTCCCCAGGGAAAGATGGGCTTCAAGTGCAGGAAAACCAGCCTCCCAGCAGAGGCAGGATAAGGTGGTTGCCTTGGAGATCATCATCTCCACTGCAATACAGATTAACCCCTTGGCTGCGGAGCCTGGACCAGCAGCAGTTGTCCCTGAGGCGCTGGCAGAGCAGCAGTCTCCCCAGAAACTGGTGCCCAAAGAGCACCCATGAAGTCCTGTTAACAACACACACAGCACAGGGCTGGAAAACTCACACTGGTTTGGAATGTGAGGGTGGACCTGAGTTCTCGAAGAGAGGCGTGGTTGGAAGGTCTAAGGGCACAGCAAAGCTCACAGACTCTGTTATGAGTTGTCTTTGATGATTGTACATTTCTGCCCCCAAGTGGGAGATGCAGGGGGGGCTGAGACACCCCATCCCAGTACTAAGGGCAGTTTAGGCACCTTAAGATCCTGAGGAATAAGATAAGCAAGAGAAAATCTGATGGTCTGACAGCACCGAGCTAGACAAGTGGGGCCAAAGTTAACTGTGCAGAGTTATCCAGCTTCCAGGAGGCCGGGTGGCCTTTCCTAGACAGATCTGCCATCAGGAACAGCAGGAACCTGTGTGACCAAACCCACCTTTTTGCAGTCCTGGCAGAAGACAGCCGTGCTGCCCAGCAGCCCGAGCAGCTCCCCGCAGAGCAGGCACTGCGAGAGCCCGTTCCCCATCGCGTTCTTCCTCATGTTCTCCAGCCTCTCCACCAGGCGCCTGCGGGGAGAGAGGCAGAGCAGAGGTCACAGCACTCACCTTGGAAATGGAAGCACCTGGTACTGAGGCTTGCCAAAAACCTGCAGACTGTGCTCCAGACTCAGCCTACCTCTGCCTCTCCTGTGCAGTTCTGGGCCCCTTGCTGGGACCATATGTACCTTCACTTCAGTGTCTGCACTCGGTGCTTCCTATCAGCTGGCTCTTGGTCTTCAGGAGATATAAACCCCTGTAAGACCATCTACCAACGTTCACCAAGCTCAGAATAATCAAACTGGGAACATCACTGAGAGGCCTGACTCAGCTAGTGGGCAGAGAGCTCACACAAAGAGCTTGATCCTAAACGCTTCAGGAACTCTGTGTCACTGGGGCCACAGTCTCAGCACAAACATTTCCTGCTTGTAGAGCAGGAAAAGCTTTTAATACTCAGAGCAAGGCAAGTCAAAAAGCACTGGGAAAGGGCAGAGGAGTTAGACCTGCCAAGCCCTCTCCATTTTTTCATGTCCCTGACAGCGGCACTGCAGGCACGACTTGGCCACATCCCATTAGAAGCAGGAAGGCCAGACTGAAGCCATCAGACCAAAATGAGCCTGGTTGCAGTACAGGAATGCCAGTAACTGCCCCCTGCTTCGCTCCACAGCCCACTTGGAAGGCAGGAAGCACATATGTATGCACAATGTCCATAGTAGCAGGACAAGGAAAGGGAAGGAAGGTAGGATAAGCAATTAGGATGCAGGATGTGGAGAGCATGCAGAGCAAGGCTGCTGTCACGAGATCACTGCTTGGCAATTTTCAGGCATCCATTTGTAGATGGGGACAGTAACATCCAGGTCATTTATCAGTGGCAGTGACCAGCCACAGCCATGTGTGTGCAGGAGGCTCAGGGAGGAAGTGATCCTGCTATCCATGCAATCCCACCCTCATTAGTGCTAATGTCCCGTCAACCAAGCCCCACACTGAGAGGAAGGCAAGGTCTGTTTGAAAGAGGTTCTGCCTGTGGTGGTGAGGTCAGACTGCACAGCCAGATCGAGCCATCATTAGTGGATTTATGATCCTCAACTTCGGCACAAGAGAACTCCCAGGAGTTAACAAAGGCATTTCAGAGAATGCTTCAGCACGGGAACAGCAAGGGTATCACTTGCTGCAGCTACAGCAACTACCACACAGGAACAACCAGCTCCTCAGGGTCACTCCCTGCTGCTGGGGTCTCCCATTTAGCACAGAAACCTCACTGTCAGTTCTCATCAGCCCTCATTAACACGCTCTGTGCAGGGAAGTGGAGAGGCAGGAAGCTGGGCCTGCTGGACACGGGGTGGGAGTCACTGGGGTTTCCTGTCTCACGAGCACAGAAGCTGCTGGGAAATGCTACAGGACTGCCCAACTCCCTGGCTTTAAGGCAGTGCAGGATGATCACAGACACAGCTGAGGCCAGACCGCCAGCAGGACTGAAAGCAAATGGAAATCTGCAGCAGCAAAAGGATGCCTGTAAATTAAATAATTCAAACTAGCAAACCCATCCAGAGGGCTCAGCCAACTAGAACATCAACTCATTCACTGCTCCAGGCAAAATCCCAGGGGACTGGTGCAGACGAGGGAAAACCTGACTGCACTGCCAGCAGTGGCCTCTGAGCCATCCGCCCACCAGCACTGGGCATCTTCCCAGCCCTCTTCAGAGCCACTGGGGCAGCTGCCTCAGCACAGGCTGCATTTTCCAGGGACTGTGTCAGGGCTGCAACCTCAGCAAGCCCTGAGGTGAGAAAGGCTCAAGACGTGGAGAGACGGAAAACATCACATCCTTCCCAGTGTTCGTCACCTCCAAACAAGCAACGCGGGAGGAGAAAATAACTGACCTAAGGGATGCTCTGACTGATGGAGGCGGAGCTCAGGCAGGTGGGAGAACCACCCCTCTGTGTGCTGACCTTTCCTCGGGAGGGAAGGGGACAAATGGACGTGACTGTACCCGATGCGCTGCTGCTCGATGATGTCCAGTTTCTCTGCCTTGCGGATGACTTCCAGAATGACCTCAAGCTCCTTCGGGCTCAGAGCCTGCGTCTTCCTCTGCTTCTCAGTCTGGAATGTGTGCACCGACCAGCCCGTCTGGAGCCTGTGGGAAGGGGTGGAGGGCAGGATTCAGCTGTGAAAGGAAAGCACAAAACCCCTGCCCTGCCCCACAGGCCAAACCTGCCAGGCACAGACCCACGTCAGCCTTTCACCAGAGGGGTCTGTTCCACGACTAACGCCCAAAGCAGGAGTCTCCTCTCACTGACCACGTCACTCCTCCAGCATCCCAAGTGCTGTGCTGTCTCTCCCTGCCCTCTCACTTCCCTTTCTGCTCCACTTCGTATTTCACCACTCCAAGCCCTCAATCCTGTTTGTCTCTGCCCATAAAGAAAACCAGTGCCCCTGGGAATGGCTACCCTACTCCTGGGGGTACCCTTGGAGAGGTGGGTGCTGATGCCAGACACCACAAATGCCAACAGCAGACTCTCAAACACGGGGATTACCTGCATCCTCCTCCCTCCAGATCACACATTTCTAAGGTCCTCCTTTCAAACACACAAATCACTGGGCATGCTTGGAAATATAAATTTGGCAACTTCCCTGCTTGGTCTAAGCCAGGTTCACATGAGGACTTCAGTAAACCACTTCCCTCTGTGCCTT